CCCCCCCCCCCCCCGGCCAGTCCCCCTACCCCCTTACCCCCGCCAGCCCCGCCCCCAGTCGACCCTCGCCCCCGCAGCAGCCCCCACCCCAGGCCGGCACCAGGCTGGGGGCAGGGCTCCTCCCCTCCGGCTCAGGTCGCGCGTGGACGCCGCCCGCAGAGGGCAGCAGAGGCACGGCGCTGGGCCGCCCGCCCAACGGCGACGCTCGGGTAAGTGGCACGCGGGGGGCCGGGGCCTGGCAGGCGGCGCGGCGGCCGCGGTGGCAGCCTGGGAGCCCCGGCGGGAGGTGACACAGCCCGCGCCCACCCCCCCCCACCCCCCCCTCCAGCGCAGGCGGCACTGGCCCAGCTCAGAAGGGCGGGCTGTCGGCGAGCAGGGGCAGGGGCAGCGGCAGCCGCGGAAGGGACAGGAGTCCGCACATCCGAGAGCTGCGGCCAGGGCGGCCAGGGCCTGAATGCAGCTCTGGGAACCGGTGCCGCCCGGCTCCTTCCAGCGGCCTCCTCGCGTCCGGAGCCCAAGCTGACGCCGGGGCCAGAAGCAGCCAGAGGCCGTGCCCGGGCCCCCACCCCCCAGGGCAGGGGGCCCGGCGAGGCCTGGGAGGCAGACAGGCCGCCAGGTGCAGCAGGCCGGGCGGGGAGATGCCTCACTCCTCGAGGACTTGCTCGGGGACGGCGGGCAGGGGCTGAGACCCCGCGACCCCGCGGTCACCGGTTGAGTCCCCTCATAGGCCTGCTTGGAGACGCAGAATCCGGCGCTCGGGAGAATGCTCACGATCGCATAAGGGCACGTTGGCTCTCCCTGCCCGGGCTGCGTGTCCCTTGTTTTCAGGTGTGCCTTGACGCACTCCTAGACCCAGCTGGCGAATGCCCACGGTCCCGGAGAACCCTTGGGGGGTTTCTAGACGCGGATCCCAGCCTTGCTGGAGACTCGATCCCCAGGACACCCGACCACCGCCCAACCTCCACCAATTAGCCATCTGGGAAACACCAGGTAATGTGGGCTTCAGGGAGACTGTCCCCCTATGAGGGCTTCTCTGCGAAGCCCTGAACTTGGGGCGTTCAGAAGGACCCCTGCAGCCCTCACCCCAGGTCTGCTGGTTCCAACTTCACTGATAGTTTGCATCTGTCCTTCCCTGCAGTTGGGCGCTGCCTTCCAGAACTAGCAGTGTGCCCACAGGTGCTCCGGGGAGTCTAACTGGGGCTGTTAATTGAGCATTTAACTCGCACCTGTAAGTGCGTCCATCTGTGCTGCGACTCTGTGACGTCATTGTTTGGGGCGTGGGTGCCGTGTACCGTCTCCTCCGTGCAGCCTGCTAAGGTATTATTCCCAAGAGGCGGCTTTGGTTTCCGGCGCTGCCCCGATGAGCGGTTAAAATGAGCGATTTTGCATCCGTAGGAGGTATTTGGAGTTTAGCTATGAATTATGGAGTCTCGTACCCAGCTCCTAAGTTCTGCTACGGTTCTATCCAAACCCGGAAAATAGCTTTGTTTCTTATTAATACAAGTAGAGACTTTTCAAAAGTTCAAACGTTTTTTTGGGGAAATGTGTGCCTCTGTGTTGTGTGTGTGTCTGTGTGTGTCAAGATACAAGCATAATTAATTTGCTGTCATTCCTTCTTTAAATTCCGTACAAAAAGTCGTCACTCTTTTTGTTTTTTTTAACGTTTATTTATTTTTGGGAGAGAGATCTCGCACGTGCGGGGGAGGGACAGAGAGAGGGGGAGACACAGAATCCGAAGCAGGCTCCAGGCCCCGAGACTCGGGGCTCAAACCCACGAACTGCTGACATCATGACCTGACACGAAGTCAGACCTTCACCAACTAAGCCACCCAGGTGCCCCCCCCCCCAAATTGTCATTCTAAGGAAGAGAAGTTGTCAATGCAAAATGAACAAAGGCAGAGAAGGACAGATATTATGTGTTTTCACTCATACGTGGATCTTGAGAAACTTAACAGAAGACCATGGGGGAGGGGGAGGGGAAAAATAGGAACAGAGAGGGAGGGAGGCAAACCATAAGAGACCCTTAAATACAGAGAACAAAGTGAGGGTGGATGGGGGGCGGGGGGAGAGGGGAAAATGGGTGGGGTCACTGAGGAGGCACCTGTTGGGATGAGCAGTGGGTGTTGTATGGAAGCCAATCTGACAATTCGCTATATTACACAAAAAATTAAAAAAATTTTAAAGGGAGGGGCTGGCTTAGTCAGTTAAGCGTCCGACTTCAGCTCAGGTCATGATCTCGCAGTCTGTGGGTTCGAGCCCCGCGTGGGGCTCTGTGCTGACAGCCCGAAGCCTGGAGCCTGCTTCGGATTCTGTGTCTCCCTCTCTCTCTGCCCCTCCCCTACTCTCTCTCACTCGCTTGAGCGCGTGCTCTCTCTCTCAAAAAATAATCCATTTAAAAGAAAATTTAATTTTAAAGAGAAAGGAAAGAGTCTTCCTTGAGCCCAAGTTAGGACAGCTGCCCAGGGTACCTGTCTTCACAAAGAAGAGAGTCCTCTGGGGAAGGGTCATGTGGTACAGGGTTATATGTTTGTGTTTTTTCCTTTTCACGAAGAGTTACAAATCGTCATGACAAAGGACATTCCAAACAGTTACAGACTTTGTTTTATGTTTTTATTTTTTCATCTATTTTATGTTTTTAGTGTGTGCAAGGCTGTATGAATTTAATCTTACGGGAACCAGGGAGATTTTTCTTTTTATGTCTGCAAGGCTCCTTTTGGTTATTTCTTTATTTTTTAACAAAGCAGATGTACAGTGTGTGCACGGGACAGAAATAGAGCCCATGCTCGGAGGTTTTGCTGAGTCGTTCTGACCTTGGTAAATGTTCAAGTCTAGCTTCCCTGGGAGCCCAGGAGCAGGACCCACAAACATCAAAAGTTGAAATTTTCCTTCATCATTTCCCCTTTTTGATCAGAAATCTTTCCCCAGAAAGCACTGACGACCAACCTTATGTTTTCCGGTCCCTCGGTGCCAGGGTGCCTGGCTTGTCTGTCCAGGGCCCATCAAGTCCCTGTTGCTAGGTATGAACATAATGTATTTTTTCACCCCTAGTTCCTTGTTGGGGACTTACTGTAACAGAACCGGTGGGAAGCTTAAAAGTGATAACATGTTCTCTATAAAGTCCAACCGGTGAGCAAACAGTACGCGTGCTTGGCTTAGACTGTTTTTGCGTTTGGTAAGATATTTAAAACAATGACTCGTGGACAGAAAAAGAATTCTAGTGAGTACAACTTGAAGGAACCAATGTGGTGTTGGAATCGACTTAGGCGGGAGAAAAATCCAAAGAGTCTTGATTAAAAGGTGGGAAAATTCTTTTTCAACGTTTATTTATTTTTGGGACAGAGAGAGACAGAGCATGAACGGGGGAGGGGCAGAGAGAGAGGGAGACACAGAATCGGAAACAGGCTCTAGGCTCCGAGCCATCAGCCCAGAGCCTGACGTGGGGCTCGAACTCACGGACCGCGAGATCGTGACCTGGCTGAAGTCGGACGCTCAACCGACTGCGCCACCCAGGCGCCCCAAAGGTGGGAAAATTCTTGATCATTCAAGAGGGAAGCTAGAGCCTGTTCCCACTGAGGAAACATACGCGTAACATACATTCCATGGTGACTCTGGGGCCGAGACTTCACGAAATTCAGTCCCCCGTCAGGAGGTTATCTCAGGACCAGGAGAGGGGGCTCTGGGCGCACTCTGAGGGCTGGGATAACCTGGATGGGGTCTCTCCTTATCTCACATAAGGAAAGCGGGGCCTTGCTTGTTACCAGGCAGGAACCCGATGAGTCCAGGCTGCTGCAGGGACAGCCAGCGGGTTTGTTGGTGGGGACTGGGAGACATAATAGCCAGTTATAGCCAGTTAGGGAGAAGCACTTCTCTGAAAAGCAGGCTTTCAGTTTTCTGGTAATTTCAACCTCATTAACCCTATGGGGCATGGATTCAATTCCTCCCTGAGTTATGACTTTTCCTCAATCTTGAAGAGTTGGGGGTGATGGTGCTTTGGCTACTTCCCTGTCTCCTCGGGTGAGGTAGATGTTGGGTAAAGAGCAGTTTTGGTAAACCTTAGCTGTAACGTGCCTACACGCAGGGCTAAGCAGAAAGTTCTAACCTGTAGGTCACTGCAGCAAGGGAAACAGAAGCAACACGGTGTCAGACATGTGGAGACTTTTCCGGTTAGAATTTCCCATCGTGAGTCCTTCCTTGCATTTCTATGGAGCGTGGGCGGAGCTCTGTCTTCTGTTACTGCTTCAGCCGATTTAGGGTGTGGTCGGGGCTTTGAAACAGAAGGATTTGACCTACTTGTAACTTTTGGTCCCTTGTGCTAATGGAAGGGGCATCAGAGGTAATTTTATTTTTCTACATAGTTTGGCACTACGTGACGTTAATTTCATCCCCAAGTGTATTCCAAGCAATCGCAACGGTGTAGTCAGGGGTGGGAGTCTCGAAAGTTGATCTGATCCCAGTGGGTATCCAAGAGAATGGATCAGTAAGCCAGTCTCTGCCACCTTAAAAAAGGAGGTGGGGGGCAGGGGCCTCTTGTACCCATGTGACTTGCTGCCTGATTATCTGGGTCCTTACTTCCCTGGAGTTCGTCTAGGTGTCGCAAGTGGTGTTGGCTTTTGTATACACTCTACCTTGTTCAGCAGGCAATAAGGTTAATTAATGAGAGGCATTTCTATGGAAACAAAAGGAAAACACAGGTAATGTTGGAGCAGATTATAAACCCAGTGTCTGAGTCCTGGATGCTGCCAGTGAGATTATCTGTATGACAGGCTTCAAGCATCCTCAGGCGGAGTGGGGGCAGGCAGCAGCAATCTGATGGATTTTTCTGGTTCATAGTTCAGATGTCTCTGGTGATCCTGTGTGTGGTCCATAGAGCAACAGACACTAAGAGGGCCTCTACATGAGCCATTGTGGCCGTGAGTTTCCTGCACCTCCCAGTCCATGAACATGGAATATCTTTCCATTTCTTTGTACCATCTTTGATTTCTTTCATCAGTGTTTTGTGGATTTCAGAGAACAGGTCTTTCACCTCCTTGGTTAAGTGAATTCCTGGGTATTTTATTATTTTGGGTGCTATTGTAAATGGGGTCGTTTTCTTAATTTCTCTTCTGCAGCTTCATTATCAGTGTGTAGAAATGCAATGGATTTCTGTGCATTGATTTTGTATCCTGTGACTTCGCTGAATTAATTTATCAGTTCTGGTAGGTTTTTGGTGGCGTCTTTTGTGTTTTCTACGTACGGTATCATGTCATCTGAAAATGGCGAAAATTTTGCTCCTTCCTTACCAATTTAGATGCCTTTTATTTCTTTTTCTTGTCTGATAGCTGTGGCTAGGACTTGCAGTACTGTGTTGAATACAAGTGGTGAGAGTGGACATCCTTGTCTTGTTCCTAACCTGAGAGGAGAGGCTCTTGGTTTTTCCCCATTGATTATGATATTGGCTGTGAGTTTTTCATCCATGGCCTTCACTATGTTGAGGTATGTTCCCTCTAAACCTACTTCGTTGAGGGTTTTTATCTGGAATGGATGTTGTATTTTGTCAGATGATTTTTCTGCATCTGTTGAAATGATCACATGGCTTTTATCGTTTCTCTTATTGATGTGATGTACCATGTTGATTGATTTGTGAACATTGAACCACCCTTGTATCCTAGGACTAAATCCCACTTGATCGTGGTGAATGATATTTTTAATGTATTGTTGGATTTGGTTTGCTAATATTTTGTTGACGATTTTTGTATCTGTATTCATCAGAGATGACTGGCCTGTAGTTCTCTTTTTTTGTGGTGTCTTTATCTGGTTTTGTATCAGGGTAATGCCGGCCTCATAGAATGAATTTGGAAGCTTTCCTTCCTCTTTTATTTTTTGGAATAGTTTGAAAAGAATAGATATTAACTCTTCTTTAAAACTTACATAGAATTTGCCTGTGAAGCCATCTCATCCTGGGCTTTTGTTTGGTGGGAGTTTTTTTTATTACAAATTCAGTTTTATTGCTG